GGGTTGTTAACCAATGTCATAAAACAGCATGTGTGTTACTGTTACATGAGAAACTATCTGTTCTGTAAGCCTTCACCTGAAGTACAATAAAATATTTAAAAAAAAAAAAAAACAAATTGCTTAAAACCAGTGATAAAGAGAAAATCTTAAAAGTAGACAAAGGAAGAAGTACATCACATAGGAAAAAAGTTAAGAATGACAGCACATTTCTCATCAGAAGTAATGCAAGCCAGAAGGCTTAATCTTTAAAGTACTGAAAGGAAAAAAAAAAAAACCCAATCAAGCTATAGTTTTATACCTAACAAAAATATCTTTCAGAAATAAAAATATTTTCAGACATACAAAAGCTGAAAGAATTCTTAAAAAATGGCGTGGGGGCGACATCCGACCTCTTCTAACTTCACAAGGGGAAGGAAGAATCAAGATCAACAGCCCAAGGCTATTTCCTATGAGGCGGAAGTCAGACATGCCCTCTCTCTGCTGTCTTTACCAGTTGTGACACCAGCCATCCCTCTCACAACACTTTGTACTTCTTTGCTGGGTTCGATAGTTCATTGCAGTGCCCACACAGAACTCACAATTATGGGGTTTATTAGGGAAGTAAGAGGTTACAATTCAGCTTCAGGATACGGTTCTTCCATCAGGACAGCCTCTTCCATCAGCATCAGGTGTGCTCACAGGCACACCTCTCTCTGGCCCTAGGCCTCTGCCCTGCTCAGTCAAGTGTTACAAAGCTCTTTTAGCCCCTGCCAGTATGTGCCTGGAGCCCTGGTGATGCAGTGGTTAAGAGCTACGGCTGCTAATCCAAAGGTTGGCAGTTTGAATCTACCAGCCACTCCTTGGAAACCCTATGGGGCAGTTCTGCTGTGTCCTGTAGGGTCACTATGAGTCAGAATTGACTCAGTGGCAATGGGTTTTGTTTGTCTGTTTTAGTATGTGTCCAGAGGCACCTGAATCCCCTAGTAAGCCTTGGCCCAAAGCACTCAGCTTTTTCTCTGTGGGCCGGGAAGCCCACTGCACGGTCTCCTGCCAGTCTCTCTTGCCACCACTTCTCGCCATCTTCAGGGTTACAGCTTGCTCTCTCTCAGTCTCCTGGTTCCAGGAGCTTCTCAGCACAGTGATCCTGGGTCCAAAGGATGCACTGTCTGCTCCTGGCAGTTATTCCTTGGTAGTGGTGGGATCCTCTCCTCTCCTGCCTCTGGCATGGCTTATTTCAAGCCCAGCAGGATGGCAAAACCGACCAGTCCCCTTGGTGTGGGGCACAATTACCCTATTTGTATAGTCCCACCCAATTACTTGGGTAGGAGTTATAAGACTGTAGCAAGAAAGCCCACACAAAAGCGATCTATCACACTGCAAATTCATTACCAGCAAAACTACATCATATGAAAAGTTAAAGGAAGTCCTTCAGGCAGAAAGAAAATGATGCCACATGAGGACCTGGATCTACATAAATGAAAAAGAGCACTGAAAATGGTAACTAATTACATGAGTAAATATAAGATACTTTTTTCTCTTTATTTAAACTTTTTAAAAACATAACACAAGAAGAACAAAGTTTGAATACTCATATTACCCAATTTCAAGACTTACTGTAAAGCCACAGTAATCAAGACACTGATTTTGGTGAAAGGATAAACATATAGATCAATGGAACAAAATAGAGAGCCCAAAAATAGAGTGACACAAATAATGTTATTTTTTGACAAAGGAACAAATTAAGAAGTTAATTTAATGGAGAAAGGTTAGTCTTTTCACTAGTGATGCTGGAACAATTGAACGTCTCTGCAAAAAAAAAAATAAACCTAGATAAATACCTCACACCTTTTACAAAAATTAAGTCAAAACAGATCATAAATCTTAATGTAAAACGTAAAGCTACACAAGTTACAGAAGAAAATATGGGAGAAAATGTTCATGACTTTGGGTTTTGGATACAACATTAAAATTGTGATCTATGAAAGAAATTCATAAGTTGTATCAAAATAAATCATCTGCTCTGTGAAATACAATGTTAAGAGAATGAAAAAACAAGCCACAGACTAGGAGAAATTATTTGCAAATCACATATCTGATACAGGACTAGAATATATAAAGAACTCTTAAAACTCAACAATAAAAAAATCAACAACCCAATTTAAAAATGTACAAAGAATCTTAACAGACATTTCACCAAAGAAGATACACAGATGGCAGATACACACAGGAAAAGGTGCTCAACATCATGTCATTACGGAAGTTCAAATTAAAATCACAGTGAGCTACAACACACCTGTTAGAATGACTAAAATAAAAAACAACAACAAAAAGACAGTAACATAATGACAAGGATGCAGAGTTACAGGAACTCATTCATTGCTGGTGAGAATGCAAAATGATAACGCCACTTTGGAAGACAGTTTCGCAGTGTCTAATAAGGTTGAACGTAGACTTACCATATGATCCAGAAATAACATGCCTAGGTATTTACCCAAGTGATTTTGAAAACTTATGTTTACACAAAAACCTGTGCACGAATGTTCATAGCAGCTGTTTTGGATTGAATCATGCCCCCCTAAAATATATGTTGGAATTCTATACCTGTGGATGTAATCCTGTTTAGAAATAGGATTTTCTTTGTTATGTTAATGAGGCCATACCAGTGTAGGATGTGTTCTAAACTTAATCACTTCTGAGTTATAAAAACAGCAGATTAGGCACAGAGATGGGTGGGCACATACTGGGGAAGACAGACACCATGTGAGGATTGTCTACAAGCCAACGAACCAAGGAACACCTACAGCTAGCAACAAAGAATTGATGGCACCAAGACCCTGATTTGGACTTTTAGCCTCTAGAACTGTGAGAAAATAAATTTCTATTCTTTCAAGCCACCCGCTTGTGGTGTTTGTGTTACAGCAGCACTAGGAAACTAAGCAGCATTACTCATAATCATTAAAAACCAGAAGCAATCAAGATGTCTTTTCACCAGGGGAATAGATGTACAAACTGGTATATCCATACAGTGGAACACTATTCAGCAATAAAAAGGAATGAGGTATTGATTTATGCAATAACATGGATGAATATTAAATGAAATTTACTAAGTGAAAGAAGCCAGCTCTTTTAAACTGTGTATTGTATGATTCCATTCATATGACATTCTGGAAAAGGCCAAACTATAGGAATGGAAACAGATTATTGGCTGCCAGGGGTTGGGGGAAGAGGAAGTGGTTTACTACAAAGGGGATACACAGGGAAACTTTTATGGTGAAGGAACAGTTTTTATGGTACTGTATGTTCTATATGGTTTTGCATGTTCTGTATGATGGTATGCATTTGTCAAAATGCTAGAATTGTACATGACAAAGAGTAAACTTTAACATATGCAGATTAAACACACACTCATCAAACAGGACATTGAGAGATCTTAGGATGGAATGCAGCTTGTGACAAATTAATCTAACTAGATTACAAATGTATGACATAATGACACTGAGGGAAGTAGGAGGAAAAGGGGCTGACCTAAGTAACTTTGGAAAATGGCGTTTTGACTGGAAATTATAAGCCTAAAAAGAAAATGAACTGTACATAAACACTGTATTCTAGGTAGTAAATCTGTTTCTCACAAGAATATAGGTTAACAGTTCTTTACATACATACTGGGGTTGCAAACAAGTAAATGGATGTTAGGAGCCAGAATTCTCAGCATTAGAGAAGTTACAGATAAGCAAGAAAGGAAGACTAGAGTGAATCCTGCAGTGCTAGATTAGTGTAAGGGACATCATCAGTAGGAACTATGTTTATCTTGATGGATAGATACAGAAACAAGTGTACATGTATGGGTCAGTGTACATGCATATATTACCTAGCTCTGTCTGCTGAGAGAGTCTGGAGGTAATGATACCCCAGTAGAAATGAGGACAACCAGTACCCAGATTGTAATTTCTAAATACCATTCTTTGATAAAAGAAACCAGGGCTCCTTGGAAGAATGACTGATTCTAGGGTTGTACAGGGAAAATACACAATGAGCCTGAAGCATCTTGTAGTACTAGAAAGTAAGGATTAATGGACCGCAACTACTACAGCCTCTACCAGACTGAGTCCAACACAACTAGATGGTGCCCGGCTGCCACCACTGACTGCTCTGACAGGGATCACAATAGAGGGTCCTGACAGAGCTGGAGAAAAATGTAGAACAAAATTCTAACTCACAAAAAAAGACCAGACTTACTGGCCTGACAGAGACTGGCGAAAGCCCGAGAGTATGGCCCCCGGACACCCTTTTCGCTCAGTAATGAAGTCACTGCTAAGGTTCACCCTTCAGCCGAAGATTAGACGGGCCCATAAAACAAAACGAGAGTAACAGGGCACACTAGCCCAGGTGTGAGGGCTAGAAGGCAGGAGGGGACAAGAAAGCTGGTAATAGGGAACCCAAGGTCGAGAAGGGAGAGTGTTGACATGTCGTCGAACTGGTAACCAGTGTCACAAAACAATATGTGTACTAATTGTTTAATGAGAAGCTAGTTTGTTCTGTAAACCTTCATCTAAAGTACAATAATTAAAAAAAAAAAGTATCCACTAACAAAAGGTTAGGGTCATGTCAAAGGCACACAGGAGCAAACCTGAAAGAGCTGCCATGTTTTTTATTAAGCATGGAATTAATGAATTTTTAAAAAGATATTTTAATTTGATTGCTAGTTTTTTGTGGTTTTTTTTCCACTTTATATTGGCTGTTTGTATTCCCTTTGTGAAGCATCTGATTGTGACCATTTTTTCATTTTGCTGTAGGGGTCTTAGTGATTTCCTAATTGATTTGTAAGAGCTCTTTTTATTTGAAGTGCGTTCATCTTTTATCATATTTCTTGTACTAGTATTTCTAGATTTTTTTTTTTAATTTTATTTTATTGTACTTCAGGTGAAGGCTTACAGAACAAATAGTTTCTCATGAAACAGTAGTACACATGTTGTTTTATAACATTGGTTAACAACCCCACAACATATTAACCCTCTAAATTCTCAACCTTTCTTTTTTTTTTTTTGGTGAAAACACACATAGCCAAAGATACACCGTTTCAAAAATTTCTACATACATAGTACAGTGACATTGACTATGCTCTTCGAATTGTGCTGTTATTGTCACTTAAGATGAAGGCTTACAGAACAAAATAGTTTCTCATTTAACAGTTACTACAAATGTTGCCCTATGACAATGGTTAACAATCTCACAACACATCAACAATATCCTTACTCAACCTTGGTTTCCCTATCACCAGCTTCCTTGTGCCCTTCTGCCTTCTGGCCCTTGTCACTGGACTCCTGTACCTCGTTAGTCTCATTTGGTTTTACGGGGCTGTCCACTCCCAGGCTGAACAGTGAACCTCGGAGGTAACTTCACCACTGAGATAGAAGAGTGTCTGGGGGCCATACTCTCGAGGTTTCTCCAGTATTTCTAGATATTTTTAAGGTTTTGTTTTTATTTTTGTTTTTAGCTAATTAGTAAGATAAGTGAATTTTATTATTCCATTATTAATCCAACATAAATTGCTATGAATTTATGTTGGACTATCCCAGAAAGGAGCAAAAAGAGCTACTATTGAAAACCTACTGAGAATTGTTATATTAATAAATTTTACTTTTTGCATATTTTTTTAGATTCAACTTCTATTGCAACAGAATATTCCCTGAAATTTGATGAATCCATGACAGAAGATGAAATAGAAGAAAAATCATTTCGATCTTTACTACCTTCAGAGAGTCATCGCAGATTTAACATGGAAAAGAAAAGAGGCCATCATGATGACTCTGATGAAGAAGCTTCCCCAGAAAAGACTACACTGTCCTCTGTCAAGGTGTGTTGTAGTTTACCTGTGGAAGTACTTCATAAATGGTTTGGGGTATATTCTCTTAAAGTTGAGAATACATATTATACTTGAACTAAATTGTCAGCTACCAGAATGGTTTTCCTAAAATAGCAGTTTTATGTAATATTTTGCTGTAAAATCTGGCTTCCCTTTCCTTATAAAATAAAATCTAAACTAATTCTTTGGAGTGATATATAAGGCCTTTGAAGATCAGGACCAGTGTTATCTCTGTAGCTTTTTCACTTGCTTCTCTCTTATGACACTTTATTCCATTTTAAAATTTACAATTATAATTTTCTTCTTACTAAATTGCAACTTTTTGGATAACAGGACCAAATTCTTACCCAAGTTTATATCCCCAGGACAGTGCCTTGCTTGCAGTAGTTGTTTATTAAAATTTTATTGGCTAAATAAAGTAGCAGATGGGTGTTATTTCCTCTCATGTACCTTTTTTGAAGAACGTTCTCTTTTATGATTGGTAGCCTTGTTAACTACCTCTTTTTATAAATGCATACCTCTTTTAATAAAGTTAAGTAAGTTCTTAAGGCTTAGAAAGTGGTAAACTTGAAATAAACCCTCTAGGAGCTGAGCATGCCGTTCTCAGGAGGACAAGATAGTTTCTCTAAATTTACTATGGAGATGGTTCGACAGTATATGAAAGAAGAGGAAATGCGTGCAGCTCACCAGTCTTCACTCCTGCGTCTCCGAGAAAAGGCCTTGAGGGAGAAAACTAAGGCTGAATTAGCCTGGCTAGAGCATCAGAAGAAGTAAGTTCTTTCCGTAAACATAGTTTTCACTATTTAATTTCTCCTTTCATAAAAAGAAAATACTTTGGTTTTTAAGATTTTTTTTTCTCATTAAATTTGATCTTATCAACTCAGTCTCAAGTTAGAAATATGACACTCATTCTTGATTCATGTTGCTTTTAAGACTTCCTAGTCACATAACATTTTATTTGCATTTCTCTTGTATCAGTTAACTGACTCTTACCTTGTCATTTTATACAATTAATTCCTTAATTATAAATTTCTCAAAGCCCTTCTGTCTTTAAAGGACATAGTCTAGGGCTTGCATATATTATGTACTCAGTGAAATATCTGTTGGGATATAAATGGCTGGCTGCAACAACTGTTCTCCACATTTCAAAATGTTAAATTGGTTTATAGATTTTTTTAGTGGTCAAAAATTGTTGACGTTATAATAAAAATTTAATCTTTGTTTCAATGGGAAATATTATTCGCAGACATCTACGAGACAAAGGAGAAGATGATAAAATGCCCCCACTCCGGAAGAAGCAGCGTGGTTTGCTCTTAAGGTTGCAGCAAGAAAAGGTATGTTAGGAGAAACGCCTCTTTAAGAAAATTTATCTATAAAGCAAGTTAGGTTGTGGAATGTATTATTTTGCTTAATCTTCTCTTTTTTCTGTTATTGCCTTATAAGATTTAGTTGATACTTAGCACTGTTTATGACCATACTATTGTAATTATAGGGTTTGCCTAGTAGTCTACTATATTTCTCCTAAATTAGGATTATATGTCACTGCTGACCTAATACCCTATCAGGGATAACCACTATCCTGACATCTAACACCGTAGATTATTAGTCCTGTTTTTGAAAAATTTTAAATGGAAAATGCAAACAACTTAATTTCTTCAGTAAGAGAATAGATGAACTAAATGTACTACAGCATATTCCTGAGGGAAAATAAAATAGCACATGAAAATGAATGCATTGGATCAGTGCTGTCCAATATAGATTTCTGAAACAATGATAATGTTTTATATCTATACTGTCTAATACAGTAGCTACTAGCCATATGTAGCTCTTGAATACTTGAAATGTAGCTAGTGCAACTGAGAAACTGGAATTTAATTTATATTTAAATAGCCACATGTAACTAATGGCAACCATATTGGACAGTCAGCATTAGATCTTCATTTATCAAAAACCATAATATTAGTTTCTTTTAAAAGTGAGATGCAGAAGAATATGTACAGTGTTATACAATTCATGTAAAATTTTAAAGGTCTTTCATCAGTAGTACATGTTTTTATGGAATCACACTTACACATCAAAAGTACAAAAGCACACACAGGAATGATATACTTCTGGGGAGGAAGCAGAGCAACAAGGGATTGGGGTAGAGTTTAGTTTCATCTGTAATCTTTTATTTTTGAATCAGATTTGAAACAAATATGGGAAAATGTTAGATATATTTTATTCCCCTGGCAGGTGTTTGAGTGACTAATTTTTCTGAATTTTTTCTTTTTAAGGTTTGTAATATTTCAGAATTTTTTTTAAGTAAATGTGGAAAAAATACTCTATGACCCAATTGGCTACCCTGGGAAAATTGCCCTATAGAAATAAAAGCACCAGACTGTAATAAGGATATATGTACTAAGATGTTTACTCCAGATTTATCAGTTAGGATTCTTTTGGCTGGTTGTGAGATGGCTATAAGCAATTTTAGCCACATATTCTTGTACAACTCTATCCAAAAAAGAGACAATGTATTTTCCAACGGCTTATTCTTTTTTTTTTTTTTTTTTTTTTTGAGGTGAAATTCACGTAACATAAAATAACCATTTTAAAGTGAACAATTCAGTGGCCTTTAGTACATTCACAATGTTGTACAACCTTATGCTTATTCTTAAGAGAATAGCAAAGCTTTTTTTCCCTAGAATCCCCCAGAAAAAGTCTTTTCTTTCTTCTTGGCCTGAATTGGGTGAATTTATACATTAACTGGTTCAGAAACGCAGGCCTAAGCCAGTAGGAGTTTTCAGAGTGTGCTCTACAGCACTCTAGAGGTCCCTGAGACCCTTTCAAGGGTCAAGGAGGTTGAAACTATTTTAATAATAATAGTGGGGTATGAATTTTCACTAAATGATGCAAAAACAGCAATGGGTAAAACTGTTGGCACCTTAGCACAAATCAAGGAAGGCAGTGGCACCAAACTCTACTGGTAGTCATTATATATTTCACTGCCACATACTTGCAGTTTAAAAAAAAAGCCAGTTTTGCTTAAGAGTGCCCTATTTAAGCAATAAAAATTATTAACTTTATTGAGTCTTGACTTTTAAGTACATGTCTTTTTCATATTCTGTGTAACAAAATGTGAAGCCCACAATAAAGCACCTTTGTTGGATACCAGAATACAATGATTGACTCAAGGAGAAGCATTTGTGCAATAATTTGAGTTGCAAGCTGAACTAGCCACATTTTTTCATGGAATACCATTTTTATTTGAAAGAATGATTGAGAGACTATGCTTATTCAGATTTGGGTATTTTACACGTTTTCTCAAAAATGAGCACAGTGTCCCTGTCACTTCAGAGAAAACTGACAATATTTGTTGCCAGTGATACAGTTTCAAACAAACGTCGGAATTTTGAAAAATTTGTATCCGTCACTCAATACTAAAGTTTCTTTCTTTTGAGACATGAACAAATGTGATATTTTGATATTGTATAAGAAAATGTATCAACATCTGGAAGACCTACATTAGTCAGTAAACCAATATTTTCCAAATGACCAATGAATTTTAATATAACAGTATACAGAAAGTTCATTGATACAATTTCAGATTCCATATTGCAGATGAACTTTAATAAACAGTCACCTGTTGAATTTTAGTATGGTTTCAAAAAAGAATATCCACAGTTATCTGAAAAGATTATTAAAATACTCCTCTATTTTCCAACTATTTATCTGTGTGAGGCTAGATTTTCTGCATATACTTCAACAAAATATTGCAGCAGATTAAATGCGGAAGCAAATATGAGCGTCTAGGTGCCTTTTATTAAGCCAGACAGTAAAGAGATTTGCAAAAATCTAAATACCACTCTTCTCACTACATTTTTTTGTTTTGGAAAATATAATTATTTTCTTAAAGCATACAACACCATTGTATACTCATGAGACAATGAGCTTACAAAAGGGCAAGTAATGTTTTAGAAGTATTGTAAACAGTTTGACCCTGAGGTCTCCTGAAAGGGTCTCAGGGACCCCCAGGAGTCCATGGACCACATTTTTGAGAACTGCTTCTCCAGAGAAACTCATACATATGGGTAAGGAAATGACAAACATAAGGCTGTTCGTTTTGACAGTTGTTTGTAATAGTAAAAAGTTGACAACCTAAAAACCCAACCATAGGGGGAATGGATAAATGAAATATGTATCCCTCCAGTGTAATTTTACGTGGCAGTTAGAAGGTATAAATCAGCATGGAGAGATATCAAAAGCAATGTCCAGTAATTAAAGCAAGATTCAAAATGTATACATATACTATTTATAAAAAATTTAAAAAATACACAAACCAAACAATATTATTTATCTTTTACAGATAAGTACACGTATTTCTAGAAGAATTTAAAAAGTATATGCTGAAAGGATCTGTGCCAAACTTTTGCTAGTGGTTGTCTGTGAGGAGCTGGAGCACAGGATTGGAGACTTCATTTTTATTTCTTTCAGAAATTAAAGACTAGGAGAAAATATGACAGTATTAAACTTGTTAATTTTGAGTTTTGGAAATGTGAACGTTTATTATATACTTTTTTGCATTTTCAGATAGTTTCATATAAATCTTTCAAACGTTATTCAAATAAATTATAAGCAACAAATTATTAATGTTTTTATTATGTTTACTTCATTGATAGGAAAACAAATTTGTGGAAATAAAAGCAATCTCTGTTAAATTTTAAAAATTATTAACAATAAAAGTGTATGATCTTTTGCCCACTTAAATAGCAACAGGAAACATGATAATATCTTGTGTAGAGAAAGCGTGGTATAGTGTAGTCTTAAATGTTTCTAGTGGCATTGTAAGTGGGACAGTCGTTTTTTGAAAGCAATTTTAAAAAATGGTTGAAGGGCCATAACATGGTTCATGCTCTTTGACTTATTTATTCCACATTTTGGGATCGCTTCTAAAGAATCATCTCACAATATGAAACAATTATAGGCATTAAAGCATTATTTGGGATAGTAAAAAATTATAAGGGGCCTAAGTGCTTAGTGATAGAATAATGGTTATATTAATTAGTTTACTTGATGTACAACTGTTAAATAAGTGTAAAGACCAAGTAGCGCTATGAAAGGTTGTAAAATGTATATTAAGTTAAAAAGAGAATATGAAATTATCAGTCATTCTAGTTACAATAATTTAAATTAAGGGATCATGTTAAATATTTTAGGGTGATGGGGTTATGTGTGACTATTTTTTCCTCCTTTATGTCTTTAAATTTTTTTCAGTTTTTTCATATACAATATTATAACTTATTTTTAAATAACATATATTTATTTTTAATCTATGCGACGATTGGATTTTCTTTTTAAAATATTTCTTTGGACCTGTCTCCTCCAAATCTCAGTCCCTCTCCTAACTCTTTAAACCTTAGGCAGAAATTAAACGCCTCCAAGAAGCCAATAAGGCAGCTCGGAAGGAAAGACAACTGATTCTTAAACAGCAGGAGGAGATAGAAAGGATCCGACAGACTACCATAAAACTGCAGGAGAAGTTGAAGTCTGCAGGGGAGAATAAATTGGTAAATTATATGGATTTGTCATTAGTTTGTTTTCTGCCTTATCCTGCTTGCCAGTTCTTAACCCAGCCTCATGCTCTAATAGGAGGGATATGTTCTTTCTAATACTATGATACTGTAACAGACTAGGATAAAGTTCTAGTTATGTTCTATTATGTATAGTGAGAATTTGTTTTGTTTTTCAAATTTTGAAAGGGACAGGTGGTTCCTATATTCATTTAAATTTTTTTTCCATTTGTTAACTAAATTGGGACAGAGAGCTTTGCTCTTGCTTATCATTCCAAATATATTCTTCAGAAGTGGTAGGAGAGATTGTTTTTGCTCTTTATATAATACTCACTTCAGCTATGCAATTTTAGTATAATGATACGAGATTTAAAGGAGTTATTCAGACAAAAACAATATGAACCCATTCAAAAATACTGTAAAATATTTTTTCCAAGTACAGAGTTGGAAAACCCAGACTGTGTAGTAGTATAATTAAATAAATCTTGTATATTCTCTGCTTTGGTTTTTTAAAATGCATTTTAAATTTTGAAACTATCTCAAACTTAAAAATTTCAAGCATGATCCAAAGAAACTTTATTTTCCCAAATCATTTGAGAGTAAGTTGCCAACTTGATGCTCCATCTCCTGCCATACCTTAGTATGTATTACCTGCAAACAAGAGCATTTTTTTTAACAAAGAATACAACCATCAAAATCAGGAAATTGCATAAGACATTACTACCATTTAATCTACAGAGTCCATTCAAGTTTCGTCAATTGTCACAATGTTCTTTATAGAAAAAGATAAGTTCAAAATCATATGTTGCATTTAGTTTCATGTCTTTCTGGTTTCCTTCAGTCTGGAAAAGTCTGAGTATTCCCTTGATTCTAATGACTTTGACACTTTGGAAGATTACATACATGCCAGTTATTTTGTAAAATTTTTTTAATTTGGGTTTGTCTGATGTTTTCTCATGATTAGATTCAGGTTGTGCATCTTTGGCAGGAATGTCACAGAAGTGATGTTTTGTTCTCATTGATCACCTGACTAAGGTGGTATCTGCAAGACTCACTGTAAAGTTACTCTCTTTCCCTTTGTAATTAACAAGGGCTTTGTGTGGAGGTATTTGAGACCATGTAAATACTCTGTTCCTCCTTACACTTACATTTATTCTTTTATTTATATCAGTATGGACTCATGAATTCCTATTTTACTCAGCGTTACAGTCAGTTACTGTCATTATTTGTTTTGGTGCTTACTTTGTACTAAACTGAGCTAGTAGGTTTCTGTGTCTTTTTGACATACCCCCATTAGTCTTTGAGCACTTCCATGTTTTCTGGAACAACAAGACGTTTCAGAATCATCTTGTGTTTTCTCTTTCCCAGCCTTGGAATCAGCCAGTTTTCTAAAGGGTCCTGGTTCCTTTTAGTGAGGAAAGCTAATAAGAAACCAAGATCTGTGCTAGGCATGCTCATTGCTATTCAGGTATTGCTGCTCCTAGCAACAAATCTAGGGAATGTGAATGAATGAATAAAATATACATACACATTTTACGTGTATATTTCTATATGTATAGATATTAAAAGTCATGAGTTGATACTGCTATCTGCAATTCCAGTCAACATCGCAGGGTTCATTCTAGTTTTCTCTCTTTTGGAACTGCCTTCTTTGGCAGATACCCTGCTAACATTTTCCTTAATATAGATAATGATTTGATCAATCCCCCTATATAACCACTGCCACCCCTTTCCCCATGCAGATGACCTCTGACCTTGTACCAGCTCATCCCCCATGTGGATGACCTCCTCATCCCACTTGGCACTGAATTCCCCTACTTCCTCGCCCCTTCTCTGTAATTCCCTTTACCCTCTTTGAACCCTGCTATACATGCAAGGAAGTTCTCTGTGGAAATGCTTTCCACAGTCTGGGCTCATGACTCGCTGTATTGGATCGCCACCACATGGGCATCCTGCTTGCCCACTCCATCTGTGACTCCTCACACAGGCCACCCTCCCATGTTAGATGCCCTCTCATCCTACTCAGGTTCTGATACCCCATTCTGGGCCCTTTTGTCACCCTCTGTCTCCACATGGACACCTGCCTTCTTCTGCCCCATCTAATGACTTGAGGACTGAATTGTTCAGAAAGGGAAAAGGTAAGGAGAAGGGCTGTTCTTTGATTTTATTATCTACGAAATAAAAACAGTCATAACTATCCCTACCCATCTTTTTGAAAAGTTATGAGAATAAATGACTATTTGTGGTGAAGATTTACCAAGCAATTAAGGTTTTACTTTTTGCTTATCAGAAATGTCTTGATTAAACCAGTAGTTCCTGTTTTTTTCATTATAAACTTTTTAATTTGTGAAAATAATGGTTTTCCATAAGGAATATTTATAGAAAAAAAATCCATCGCCCAGTATGATTAAAATAAATTTTATGTGTTCTCTTCATTCTTCATGTCTATACATATATGTTTTATATAGTTACAGTGTCTGTAATTTTGTATTCCTTTTGAGTGGTTCAACTTTAAAAAATTAGAGAGGACATTTAGATACTAGATTATTAGTGACAGAAGGTTTTTTGATTTCTTACATGTCTGTTTTTTTTTAAGTTATTACACTTTGTGATACAGTTTTACCGCTTAAATAATACCTTAATTTCAGCTATTATTACAAACACTGTTTTGAGGAAAAACTTAATTTTGAATTGACGGTGTTTAAGGTCATTTTAAGGAGTGCTGGTCTCATCCATGAAAGAAAAGACCTGGCTGTCTGCTCCCATAAAGATTATAGTCCCTCATATAGGGCTGCTCCGAGTTGGAATTGACTCAATGACACCCAACAACAAAATCACTTTAAGACTTTTAAATTCCAGAAAAATTATAACACTTCTTTTTGTTTCCAGGAGTCTCATAGTGATGATGATACAAAGGATAATAAGACAACTAGTCCTGGGCCAACTGACTTAGAAACCCGTAGTCCTTCTCCTATTTCAATCTCCAGCAGTGAAACTAGCAGCATTATGCAGAAACTGAAGAAAATGAGAAGCCACATGGATGAAAAGTAATTCACTTTTATAAATATCTTCTGTTTAGTTTCGTTGAAAATATAGCAACAAATAATATTTTTAATGTACTTCATTATATCAGATTGATACAGCATAATTTTTTGTGGATTCAGTGCCATTTTAGCAGAATTATTGGATCAACTTTGAAGTCAGCTAACTGTAGATCTTAATTATAAAACATTTTTCCTCAGTTTAATACAGACAGGTTTCTTATAAAAAACCAAAGTAGTATTTCCACATATATCCATGACAATGTTTTCTCTCTTTTTTTAGTAAAAGTTATAATTAACTGTAAAAGTTAATACTTTCTCTGAAATCGGGGAACATGTCTGTTGACTAGGGAGAGCAACTAATGATATATCCCAAGATCTAATCCTGTGGCACTCTGGCAGTTCTTAGGCTTATTCAAACAGAAGGGTGAAATTTTAACCTTGTGAATAAGTGTGAGTTGCTCATTTGAAACTAGGAGTGCTGAAATTCTCTTGGGATATTGAATGTTATGGCAGTCTTTCAATTTCACCCTTAAGTCAGTTATGCTACCATTCTTCTAAAACATTTCTAAGCAGTATTTCTTAAAGGCTTTTTAAAAGAAAGTTACTCCTACTTAGTTGTAGCTCAGCTTTGACCACATAAAATGACATTTATATAATAGTTTACTCTTTGGGGTTTACATTTAATTAAATATGGTTATGAAGTAGCTGCTGGTAGATCCTATCCTTGATTTTGTTACCTGTACCTCCATATCTAGCTTTCTTGAAATCCACTAAATATGGAAAAGAGGCCTGTTTAAAAATTTTTGTTGACTACCATTTTTTTTAAGTTAGAAATTTGAACCGCAGATTTAACTTAAGTTGTGTCTTGATATCCTTTGACAGTGTACCACACATCAAATTTAATAATGCCCTGTATTAATAATGTGACACCAAACCGTGACTTAATTAGTTTCTGAATTAGTTTCTGTCAAGCAGTTATAAGTCAAACCCTTATTTTCTATAGGCGCAGTGTTATACATTGGCATTTCATTGCTAGAGAGCCATTTCATAACAAAAATTGTTAAACTGATAATGAAAATAAATTTTTAAAAGTAAAAACAAAACTTTAAAATAAAAAAATAGAAGGGGATAAAACCAAATACTATTATGTAAATATTCCGTTTTGATGATTTCCAGTGGGATAGACTAGTTAAGGCTAAAGTGTAACTTTCACACTTAATTGTAACTTTTAATAAATGAAAGGAGAAAATATTAATTATAGGTGCATATACAATACAATTTATTGAAGTTTAGACTAAAGATGCTGTCTTCTTTTCCTGATAAAATTTTCCAGTAGCCAGCATAGGCATGCTCTATGACTCCAGGGATCTCTGAATTCAGAATTAGGATAAACTGTTCTGTAAATTTTTATCACTGATTTGACACTTAAATCTGCTTCCAGATGTCTTTGAATGGTAAATGTTGGGAGAAAGACAGCTTCAGGAATGATTTCTTCATTGATCCTTTGCTCTTCTATTTCATTAAGATCTTCATTGCCAAGTTCTCTGAATAATATTTTAATAGTCTAACCACATTTGTAGAAGAAACTGCTAATCCAGTGTATGTGAGGTCAATCAGTTAGTGTGGTGTGCTTATGTCAGATTTTGTAAAAAGCTTTAAAAATCCTAACAAATTCAAGGTTAGATTTACTGATTTTGTTCCAAATTTTGTTATTTTCACAGTATCCAAAATATTGAAAACCTAGAATTTTTATGTAATTGGTTTACCTTTCCTTGTCAACAGTAAACCTTTGAGAAGTTTGTCAGAGAGACTAGACCTTGAAATGTTCTGTGACTTCATGATTTATTGTTTGAATCAATGCAGTTTTGTATTTGGGGTAGGGATGGGGTATGGTCAGTGGTGGCAAAAAACAAAAAAAATTAATTTTAATGTTTGGATGATAGTGCTGAAATTTGAGGAGGAATTGGAGTGTTTTCCAAAATTAGCAATGCTTTAAAAAGGAAGGTTATTGTTAGTGAAATGAGTTTTGACCTCTGGAACAAACTAGTGTGAAAATGTTGTTGTTAGGTGTCATTGAGTCAGTTCCGACTCATAGCGACCCTGTGTACAATAGACCGAAACACTGCTGGGTCCTGTGCCATCCTCACAATCGTTATGCTTGAGCCTGTTGTTGAGGCTGCTGTGTCAGTCCATCTCGTTGAGGGTCTTCCTCTTTTTTGTTGACCCTCTACTTTACCAAGCATGATGTCCTTCTCCAGGGACTGATTGCTCCTGATAACATGTCCAAAGTATGTGAGACAGAGTCTTGCCATCTTTGCTTCTAAGGAGCATTCTGGTTGTACTTCTTCCAAGACAGATTTGTGTGAATACTAGTCCTTAAATACTGTTTAGATCACCAAAGCTTTAGAATTCGATCTCCTTAAATGATGTTAGAATGTCAGCTCAATAAACAAAGAATGGGTTGATTTTATAGTCATTTGCTACAGTGGACACCTAACAACAGAATTACTTGAGCTTTTGCTACTTTGTGTGCTATAGATTTGCAAAGACATTCACTTCTAAGAAATTCCTATTTATTGCTACAAAACACCTGTCAAAGAATAGTTTAAGTCTGGCTAACTTTTTGAGGAAAATCTTCATTATGTATTATTTCTCATTGTTATCCTCTGAACTCTGATTTTATGACAGATATTTTTCTAAAGTGATCAAACCATTCTTGGCTACAATGAAACGTTTTTTTCTTTTATTTTTCACTGAGATGCCAATGCCTTTGTTAAAATTTATATTTGTAATCTATGACTTTCTAGATCTCTTTTTTGAATTGACATTTTATAAATAATTTCTAAGTGTAGTGGAAAGCAAAACATTTTCAAAATATGAAAATACAGTTGCAAAAGACACGTAGTCCTCAGTCTTTTTTGTTATTATTGGTAAATAAAATCTGAGTCTTGTTCATTACTGTGAGAGGCATTATTTACAATATGTGGGTTATCTATAATGGTGAAACTGATTTCCATGGGATAGAGATCATACAGTCAGCTCTTCCTGTTATTTCTTACCAAATCCATTGCAAGGAAATTATTTACTGAACAAATGAAACACTGAAAGAATGATGCTCTCTTGATTTTAAGTGTTACATTACTAAAGTAGGAGACAGTGCTTTCATTTGTTGATAGTAGCTTGCTCTTCCATGTTACTTATTAATTATACATTTATTCCCTCAGCGATTATTTGTTGAGAATTATGTGACTCTTCTAGATTCTGAGAGATACAAAGATAAATCAAACATAAACCCTACCCTTAAAGAGTTTATTATAGTTTAGGTGAAAAAAGAACAAAGTGGCAGGTTCCTTAGAGAAGTACATACCATATTTTTACGCAGATAATGCATGCCTTCTACGCTTGTTTGCCAACCATGCCCACCCCCTATGAAGTATTTTCACAAGTGCTTTATGCTGTTTTTTTACAGCAACGTGTAAAAAAAATTGGCATAGTGGTGCTTATAAAATACCTCACAGGGAGAGGGCCCAGCTGGCAAACAAGCATAGAAGGCATGCATGATTTGTATAAAAATACATTATAGATCAATTGCCAAGGAAGTTCAGAAGAAAGAGAAATCTTTACTGACAAGTGTATTAAGAAAATTTTCATGGATGAGTGTTTAGAGTTAAGTGCAACTCCAGCATATATATTTTTCTAGCACAAGAAAAAGCAAAACAAATCGCATATACCCCTACTCCTCACTTATCTGCTATCTCGTTATCTGACATTTCACATTTATGACAATAGTAAAAAATCTCCTGTCCGGCCACTTTGTGCGTTAATGAGGTGGCGGGGATGGCGGCAATGGCTGCAGAGCGTCCCCTCCCTCGAGGAAGGTCCTTGGACGGCCTCCAGGAAGCTGGACCTGCTGGCGGGGACACTGTGACCAGCTGCCATGTGGGGCTGGCTTCCTCCATGGCCATGGCCTCTGGGCAGACATGCAGGCAGCACCGAGCTGGTGGGCGCCTGTTCTGGGTTCACCAGCTCCTATGTGGCCTGAGGCCCTGCAGCTCAGAATTACTGTGGGGGGAAAGGAGAAAGAGTCATCTGAGAGGGTGTTTGGAAGAAATGCACACGAGTTTAATGACATCCCAAAGTGAGCCAAACTAGGCCTGAAACCTCCACCTTGTTGGTTCTGGGTGCGTAGCCAGGTTCCCAGTGCCCTCACAGGAAGCCCGGGCCTGGACGGCAAAACAGGCTCCAGGATTGTGAATGAAGGACTTGCAAGGGTGGGAGTGGAGCCCTGGAGACAGTTTTGCATGAGAAGCTGTGATCCAGAACAGGAGGAAGGTGAAGTGGTTAAGCAGTGGGCCCTCCAGTCACAAAGCCCAGCTTTATCCAGCTTTGTCTTCTCCAAGCCTCCTTCTCCACAGAGGGAATAATCCATAAGTGGACTCATCACAGTGATGAGCACATCAGTAAATCTTAGCGCTTATTATTTCTATGTTCATACTTTCTAAATTAAAAGAATCAGACAAATGAATGGTCTGAAAACAGAAAAAAATAAAATTCTCTGTTTTCACATAACGACGTAGTCTTTGGAACGGAACCACATCAAAAAGTGAGGAGAGTGGGTGTAGTTATTTTTTTGTTTGATCATTGCAGATGAAGATAGCATAGAAAAATGAAGCCTATAGTCACAAAACATTTTAAATATTCCTTTTATTCCTCCCAGTTTGCTTAGAAGCTGTTAAAGGAGCAAAATTATTTTTAGATAATCAAAAATGGTAAACAGATAAATATTTGTGATATAGTTCTGTCCAAAAATATTTTATGATGTTGTCAGATCAATCTGCTAAAACTATCAATTTGCTGAATTTAAAAGATTAAAGATTTACAAGGGATGGCTTTTGATAATCCATTAAAGGAGGCATCTCAGTTAGAATTATTTTGAATTATTTGTTAAATATCATTACCTTAAATTAGAACTTTAATTTTCTTAGAGAAGGCTCTAGTCTAAG